ATGTATGGCTGTGTGATATGGGGGCTGACTGACTGCATGACCCGAATCATGGCCCGTTGGACCATTGCTACTGCGTTGGTCCACCCTTGTGGGGCAACGTTCATGTGGACTAATCCTCGCGGCGTGTGCATAGCCGTCACCGGCCTATCCGACGGGTAGACTGGGAACTGATCGTATCATGAGTAAAGGTCTATAAGCGAAATTATAGGCTTTCCAGCACAGGATTCCGACAGCGCGTCTGCATTCGGCAGTCCTCCAGCATCTCACACGGTCACTGCATTCAATCTCTGCAAATCCTGCACCCACCGCAGCGTCCCGTTAGGCTTAATAAAGCAGAACCACGGGGACGCATACGGTCCACTTGAATAGTCGGCGACGTGAGTAAGTATCTTGCCGTCGAGATAATCCACCACCTTCCTCTCCTCGTCAGGATTGGGATACCGCGCCCCTCTCATGTTCCAAGGCTCGTGTGCCACGGTGTGGATGCGGATCATAGGTATCTTATCTACATCCAGCCTGTCACGCTCCTCGTCACTAAATGCGTAGGTGCGGTGCTTCCTCTTCATTAATTCCACCATCAACGTTCGCTCCTGAGGCAGCAGGAAATCAGACTCCCCTTTGATCAACTCCTTCTCGTTCCCTTCGTTGATACGACATGGCCCTGCTAAAGCACTTTCCTTCATTTGTCGAATCAACCCTCGTTCCCTCTCGTAATATGCTTCCTCGTCCTCTGTAACGAGGACGGGTACCGGGCGGCATTTCTTATCTACCGTCTTGTACCACCTTTGGGAACCCTGCTTGAGCCGTCCCCTAAAAAAGGCCGACTCACGGATTGTGTTTGCACTGATGCGGGGTTCCCTCCACTGCCTGCGAGCCGATATACCAGTTCCAACCTTCCTGCCTCAGGGCATTCTAGAACTTGTTCCCTAAGGCCTGGATGGCATCCGGATCTGTCATCTCATGCGCGGCCACCAGGTCCATGGCCTTCCCAACATCTGACAGGCTGAGGGAAAATGCTTCCACCCTCTCACCTACTTCGGGCTCTGCCCAGAGCCTTCTGCGCTCCCCTTCCGACTCCTCAATTGTGAATGATCCTGGATTGGGCCGGTTCCTTATACTCCTTGGTCCGGTATTACGGCAAGTAATTATTTCATAATTTCTGCAGGCAAGATCGGATAAGAGGAGGATCAACGTCCCATCATGTTTGTTGAACATCACGGTCTCTGTCCTGCTTAGGAATGACCTCCCCAGGAGGATTCCATGGTCCACGTTTGGCATTATGAAGAAACATGCCCTGGCCTTCACCTTTCCAACCTCGACGAGCACATTCGAGGCTGTCCCGCAAAACATGGCCTTACAGCTGGCTCCATGCAGAATACCGCAGTCAGAACGGTCTATATCCA